GTTCCCAGCTCCAGGCAAAAATAAAGCAAAATTATAATTATAAAAAGAAAACAAACAATAATAATAAAAAGATAAGAAATCAACCACCCCACCCCCCCAAGCTGGAGGGGAACAAGAGCGCTGGTGAAGAGATGCTCAGCAGAGAGGTGGGCTGGGGGCTCGTCTGGCCCCTCTCCCCAGCATCCCCCCCTCTCCTCCCAACGACCACGTGAGCGAGGATTTAATAGCACGAGGTTTATCATTAAAAAGCGAAGAAAAAATTAACAACAACAAAAAAACTTGGATAAAATAAAAAAAAAAAAACAAAAACAAAAACACTGAAGTGTTGAAACGAGACTGGAGAAAAATCCGCTCTTGGAAAGGGATGGTGGGATCTGGATTCACATAGCCGCTTAAGTAATTATATATATATTTTTAGAGAGAGAGAGAGAGAGATATTATTCGTACACGCACATATATATATTTGCTCAGAGGAACACGCATCTTTGGAGACCTCCGAAGGAGGGCTGTGTCTAGCTGCAGAATTCACACCAACTTTCACGGCCCCTCGAGTCTAGCAAAGACCTTTTTATGTCCAAGAAGCTCTAGAGGGATTTCAATATTTTTTTATTGTCTTTAATTATTGCTGGGTTTTTTTTTTCTTTTTTTTTTTTTTTTAAATCGAGTCGATCCACGTGGTTTTAACTCCTATTTCCTCGGATAATTATGCCTGATTGATTTTACCTGTTAGCCCAATTCCCGGAGGCAGCGAGCAGATGTTAACGCTCCAAAGCTCTCCATGAGGTTATAACCAGGTAGCCAAATACTCAATAATGAAGGCGGGCGGGTTTTGCCCACTCGCGGACTCCAATACCCACGCAGCGTTGAGAAATAGCCTAATTTTAAGTTTTATGCTTCTATTTTTTTGAGGGATCCTCCATTAGGGTTCATCCCACCCTCTCGGGGAAGAAAATAACACGACGGCTTTGGTGGCACTGGCATTTGGGTGGGGAACCACACGTGGGTGAGGGGTGTAAGCACGCGTGGGGTCCCTGGTAACCCTCCGTGGATATGAAGCCCATCTCCCCCACCCCCCCGGTACTTACATGTCCAAAGGGATCGAGGTGGTTGTTGGTGAGTTTGAGCTTCTGGAAGGAAACCAGCTGCCTCATCCAGTGGGCACCAGTGGCCGGGGAGTCGGGGTGCACGTACAGCCGCCCGGGCATGGCGGGCTCAGCCTTCCCCGTCACCGACCTGCGTGGGGACACGGAGCTGTCGGAGTGCTCCCGTGGGCTCCTACTCCCCCCCCCACACCCATCCCCTTCCGTGGGGTCCCCTCCACTCAGGTATCCCCAGACTCGGTGCCGGACACTCGCACCCTGCCTGGAGAGAGTAGGAGTTTACAAACGCTGCTCGGGGGATTTATTGAGCTCTTTGGCACCTTTCCCGTCGGAGATGGCTCTCGCTGTTTCGCCGTTTAACCCCATCCCTCCCTCCCTAATTACCGGCACCCAAGCCAAGGACCCACCGGGTTCCAATCCTCAAAGATTTCCCTGCCGGGAGATCTTCCCTTCCTTAACATAATTAAACTATGTGCTCCACAAAATTCAACAATCCCATCGTCAAGCAGGATTAGTTATCATTAGCTAATTGAGGAATACTTTTCTCCTTATTTTTTTTCATGCATTTCTCTCCCAAGGACGGTGGGAGCTCATTAGGTAAAGCCCCTGCAGCCCAACATCTCAATTTGGTTGTTTGTTTTTTGGTGTTTTTTTTTTTTTTTTTCCAGGGGAAAAGAAGGATGAACCATTGATTCAAAGGTACACCCCATGTCTGGGCAGCCCCAAAAAAGCCCGACCCAGAGCTCCCCTCCCTTCCCTTTCCCCCACGCGTGCATACCATTTATTATCTGCAAATTTGTATCTGTGGTCATCCGCTGGTACAATATCCATCAACAGTATGTACTTCGTTTTTGGATTAAGTCCAGTGACCTTCACTTTGTAACTGGGGAACATACGCCTGTTAAAAATAAATAAATAAAGTACGTAAGTAAAAGAAAAAAACGTCGGAGAAAGGAAAGTTTTTCCAAGACTTTTCGTGTCTGGTTCTGCGAGGAGGAGTCAATTAACCAAAGGGCAACGTCACACTCTCAGCTGAACCTTCCCAAAAAGGCTGGGGCAGAGGTGGGGTGCCCCCTTCCCCGAGGGTGTGGGAGAAGTTTGGGTGCCGCTGGGGACCGTCCCGGGACCCAGCGGAGGCGAAACAAGCCGAGGTTTATCAAAGCCAAACCGTAATTACGAGGCTGGAGGGGTTATTGATTCGCCTGGTCGTCTAATTGTGTTTGTATTCGTTATTAGTTTCGCCAAGACTTCGATTCTCCCTTCTTCGAACAAATCGGATGGTGTGAACTTTTAGAAGCAGGTTATTCCCCTCTGCACATAAACTCCTGGAACAGGAGGGGAGAATTGCCAAAAAGAAAAAAAAACCTCTAAATATATATATTAAAAACATATATATTTCGGTCATCCTCCACGTGTATGAACAGTTCTGCGTGTACACATAAAAAAAAACCCTACATGCCCTCAGGTGTAAACCCAAATCTGCGCCCGAGTACAGAGACATCAGCAAACACACCTGACAAATACTTGGAACCTCTCGGATACACACTTGAGGACAGGGGCTTTTCGAAATATTTTCCATGACTGCAAAGCAGGGACTTAAAACACTGCTGTTATTTTAGTTTGAGCTTTCCAAATATTTAAAAAATAAAGCCGAGGAAAAAGTATCCCTGGATTTAAAACACGCAGAAACAAAAAAAAAAAAAACCCACACCTCTAAAAATACTGTGTTCTCCTCCGAGGCTCGGGCTCTTATCTCTGCGATAGGGCATCTGGGATGGGGTTTAATTCGGTTGTAAAAAGATGGAAGAGGGACAAAAAGCTACCAACGAAGAAAAAGAGGGTTTAACTTGAACTTTTTAAGGCAGAAGAAACCAAATTCCACCTGAAGAACGAGCTGCAACTCCATCGAAAACACCTGACCAGCAAGAACACGAATTTCGCCAACAATAAACACGGGGAATTATAGAAATAAGGAAACTTCTCCCCTATCTCCCCTCAAGCCCCTGCGCTGTAAATGTCTATTTTATTACTCTCCAGATGAGCTTTCTGTCCACCGCGATTTCTGGTTGAAATTTCTGCAAGGTGGTTTCCGTCTCTTATGTGCGCTGCTTTATTTTCCACCATCCCCTGTGAACTCGGTTTTTTTCGGGAGGTCCCTCCGCTCCCCCAGCCCGTGCCCCGGCACGGGGGGTCGGCAGGACCCCGGCTCCCAGCACCTTCCCCCTCTCCCTCTTTGTAACACGTCCACAAAACCCTCCTTAAAACCTGATTTTTTTCCAGCAGCAGCAGCAGCGCGGCTCAATTGGAAGGCGAGCCGTGAGACTCATCTATTCGCTAAAACTTTACACAACGAGCTCTATTTTTTTCCTTTTTCCCCTCCCTCTTCAGGCAAAATTTGGAAGACCACAACAAATACCAGATGACAGAGCAAAATGAAAGTTTGACTCTGCGTTATTGTGCCCTTGCAATCTAAAGCTACTACTATTTCTACGCTCGGAGGGTTTTGGGTTGGTTTTTTTTCTTTTCCCCCATTCCTCCGAGAATTTTAATTTAAAATCACAACGAAAAGAGCCTCTCTCGGGCTGCCCCCAGTTTGCCGTTGGGACTGGAGAGATTATTTTACTGGGTCTCGCTGGCTTAGACTCTCTTCATTTTATCCATCCTTTAACATATTAATATTAAAAGCTTATGTTAAATCGCCTCGAATTAACCCAAACACACATAAATATCTATGGATCGGGGTTACGGAGCTGCTGATGGAATCGATTACGAGCAGTCCCAATAAAGTTGGATTTGCAAGGCTGTATATTTTTCTACACACCCACGCAGGCAAAACACACACATCTCTATAGAAATGTGTATCTGGACGCAGTTAGATCCGCATGCAATTTATTTGCGGGCACATCTATCTGCGCATCTAAACAGCTTTGCTAACGGTATATAAACAGTAGCCTAAAAACCACGTAAACTTTTAAACGGCGTGGCGTGGGTGTGCTGGATATCTTCGCCTCAGTGTGTGCAAAATAAATAAGAAACTTCTGTAAACAGCATTGCAAAATCGCTGAAGGGCCGAGCTGCTCCTTTAATTAAAAATAATAATAATAATAATGAAATCGCCCTGCGAGCTGCTCTAAAAAACAAGGTTAGCTTCGGGCCAAGTGGTTGCAAACTCGGCGTTCGCCTGGAAAATTTCCAAAGGCCTGAAATTAGGATTAACGATCCGACTGTTCTGGTTAAGAAAGAAGCCAGAAGAAACAATTTCTGCTGAATATATCCTCGCAGGGAGGGTTCTCCCCACGCCCGGCTCGGCCGGGGCAT